TTTTTTGTATGTGTTTCAGAAACAACAAAGTTTTATATGACAGAGATAATTATTCAGCTGTCTGAGAGAAATTTTCCCATCATACCAAGGTATGAATAGCAGATTAAGTTATTGAGTAATTTCAGATCTGGAAAAAGATAGCCATGATTGCTTGGGCCTCCATTCTTTTTGTAACTTCATTTGGAAAGGGAGTGGGTTTTTTGTTTGTTTGTTTTTTGGGGGTTTTCTTTTTTTTTTGTCTTTTTGAGACAGGGTCTCCTTGTAGTCCCAGCTGTCCTGGAACTCACTATGTAGACCAGGCTGGCCTCGAACTCACAAAGATCTGCCTGCCTCTGCTTCCCAAGTGTTGGGATTAAAGGCATGCACCACCACACCTGGCTGGGAGTGTTTTTTAAAAGCCTCTGAGCATAGCTGTTAGTTGAGCCAAACCACTCATACAACTTGAAGACTTTTTTCTTCATGTCTTGCTAGTATAATGCTATAGACAAATGTGTTCATGTAAATCTAATTCTGGGAAAGTATTTGTTTTGTTCTGTTTTTAGCTTCTAGGTGCTAGACATCCAGGCTCTTACAACCTAGTTATTGATAGTTTTTTGTTGTATCTAGTTCATTGTCAGTTTTATGGGACTCCTATCTTTGAGAAAAGGGTACCTTAGCCTTTAAATATATCAATGTTTTCTTTTAGTCTTTTCAATTTGTAAACAATAGCTACCTACAGTATGTCTTTTTTATTGATATTCAAAAAGTTATGACGACCTGAATGTAAACTTGAATTTTATTCTCCTGCAGATACTTTGATTTTGTATCTTAAAACTGTCACCCTAAGATGATTTGTATGGAAAAGATTGTCATTGATACCGTCTACATTTTGGAGGAAATTCCCCACCTTCTTAGTTAATTGCCATTTAATGTACATGACTAGAATATTGATAGTTTTGAACTCTGTAGGGAGAGGGCATATTAGTTACTTGTTTCCTGCTATGACAAAATACCCATTTTGGCTCACAGTTCAAGAATACAGTTCATGCTGGTAGAGAAGTGATGGTGCTGGATCTTGAGGCAGCTGGTCACATTATGTCGACTAGTCAGGAAGCAGAGACTGATGGATGCTTATGCTCGGCTTGTGTTCTCCTTTTCATTCAGTCGAGGACTTCAGTGCCACCCAAAGTTGAGATGGGTCTTCCCATCTATTTTTTTTTTTCTTTTTCGTCCTTTTGAGACTGTTTCCCTATAGCTCCTGCTAGAACTCACTATGTAGACCAGGCTGGCCTTGAACTCACAGAGATCCACCTGCCTCTGCCTCCTGAGTGCTGGGATTAAAGGCTTGCACCTCTCTGCCCTGCCAGGTGTTCCCATCTTAATTGATTTAATCTACATAATCCCTCATACATGCCCACAGGCTATCTGCTAGATTATTCTAGATTCTATCAAGTTGGCAATTAATATTAACCATCACAGGGAAATAGTTATATTTGGGATGGAAAATATATTAGTAATAGGAGAATGAGTTTTAAAGAGAATGGAACAAACACAAATGCATGATGATATTTTAATTTACATTAGTGAAGATTGTGAAGGTATAGAGGGTGACAGAGAGGCCTGCCACACGGTGCTGCTACCTTGTCCATGCCTGTGGTCTTTCTGATTTACCTTGCTAGTTACAATTATTATGAAAAGCACAGTGAGATAATTACTTTCTGTTCCAACAGGTCTCAGTTTATCCAGAGTGTTATTGCCCAGTGCCTCGTGGAACTCTCCTCTGCTAGAAGCACTTTTAGATTCACAATTCAAGGTCAAGATGGCAAAGTATACATCTTGGTAAGAAATATTTTCAGCGGCTTTTTTTTTTTGGTCTTACTACGTAGACCAGGCTGGCCTTGAACTCACAGAGAGCCCCCTGCCTCTGCCTCCTGAGTGCTGGGATTAAAGGTGTTTGTCACCACGCCCAGCTTCATCCCCTTTTTTATAGCTTTGTAATCCAGGATTTCAGAAAGTCTTTAGTTTCTGTCTTTTTTTTTGTTTTGTTTTGTTTTCCTTACCTCTCAGGTCTAGAAACTAGATGACCATAAATTGAGTTTTTAATATCAGTTAATCCATAAATCACACTCCCTTCATGTAGTAATCAATGACTGGGTGCCTCTGCATGCTACGTTCTGGGGTGCAGACAGAAAGAATACTGACTCTTGCCCCTTGGAATCTCACACCACAAAATGAAGTCTTTCACTTTCAGTTTGTAATGACTTTCCTGTGTCACTATAACATCATTTGTTGTAATTCTTTTTTCTTCCTATTTGATACTCTGTAAAATGTTTTATTGCTCTTGTTTTTAATTGCCTCTGACATCTTGGTGTTTGAGAAATAGTGGCAAGTTTTGAGAAGGGGGTCTATGGTTAGTGAATCTATCCCCTTCATGTACCACAGGGTCTGGTATTACACCACCTCTGTTCAGAGTGATGCTCTGGATGAGCAAATCAACCAGTTAACACATACGGAGTGCTGCTTATTTGAAAATCACTTTTCTAGGTATGCAAGGTCAAACAAGAATGTCTTCAAGGAGCTTACAGGGTAACAGAAAATGCAGTGGCAGAGAGGTGGGGAGAGACAGACCTGGCATTGTAGACAGGTGTGGCTTCCTAGCTGCCTTCCGTTCTGGCAGTCCTGTGCCTCTCTCATGCCAGAAAACTTTTATGACACGCTGAAATCCTTTCTCACTGGTGGTGACACTAAGTCTACCTCACAGTCACAGTTTGAAATTAGTGTTAATTTTCCTTGTGTGCGCACACATATGTGCAGAGACCAAGGGTTGGTGCATGGTGTTTTCCTCAATGATTCTCTACTTTTTTATTTCTTTTTTTGCGATGATCTCTGATTGAACATCAAGCTTAGCAAATTCAGCTATCCTGGGTGGCTGGTGAGCCTCAGGCTTCCTCCCATCTCTGCCCACCAGTTATGAGGTTACTGGTACATGCTACCAGGCCAAGCTTCTGATGTGGGTGCTGGGGATCAAACTCAGGTCGTCATTCTTGTACAGCAAGCTCTGCCAGCTGAACCATGTCCCAAGCCCTGATTTTCTTTTATTGCATGATTTTCAAGTTGAAAACAACCTTTTAAATTTTCTTGGAGTTGAAAAGATGACTTAGTGATAAATAGCACTGGCTGCTTTTGCTGAGGACCTGGGTTTGGATCCCAGCACTCACATAGTAGCTAACAACTATCCTTAAATCCAATTGCAGGGGATCCAGTGTCTTCTTCTGGCCTCTGTGGGCATTGCACAACACAGGTACACTTACATACATGCAGGCAAAACAGTCATATACACAAAATAAAAAAGAAATTTTCTTATATTTAAATTTTATTTTTCTTACTTTGATAGAATACATTCTTGATACATATCCAAACAATATGAAGGACACAAAGCACCACTTTCCCTGCCTTGTCCCCAACCCTGCTACATCATGCTTTTCAGGGATAATCATATTAGCATTCTGATATGTATGTACAGAAAACATGTATATTTTATACCCATATAAAGTGTTTATAAGAATACTCACAGGTATTTGTTTTTGTTTTTGTTTTTTTATATGTATGAGTGTTATGACTGCATGTAGGTAAGTGCACCTGCGTCATCCATTGCCCATGGAGGACAGAAGAGGCTGTCGGATCCCCTGGAACTGGAGTTATGAACAGTTGTTAGCTGCCACGTGGGTGCTGGGATTCGAACCCGTGTCTTCTGCAAGAACAGCCACTGTTCTTAACCACTGAGCCATCTCTCCAGCCCTGGTATTTGTGTTTTTAATAAAAAGAAAACAGTATTATATTAGTATATTTCAGTTCCTTGTTCGTTTAAGTGTAGGTCAACCGTACACTTAAATGACCAGAATTCTACTGTATAGGTGTTAAAGATAATGTACAAGAAAATAATCGTTGCACATGAGTTTTATTACTTTAGACATGGACTTTCCAATCTAGCATAGTACTAGAATTCGTTTATATTAAACTCAGATAGTGAACAGCCTTCATAAAAGTTGTATGAATTTATCTTATCATGAGCATTCTTGTGCCCATGCATCCTGTTGTCCAGGCTGCTGCACCTGTTCACAGGTGCCCGTCTCCAGAGACTCATCCTTGAATTGCAAGGACTGCCTTGTCCAGGGAGCTCCCTGTACTCACTGTCCCACCCAGCCCTGACATGTCAGCCTACAGGCAGTGAATCTGGGGCACAAAACTTGAGGCCTGTTTCCTCTAGGTAGGACAAGCTCTTCAGGTCTCATTCAAACTCTAGGGTTCCCCCAGAGGATCTGGCAGAAGCTAGGCTCCAGCTGAGCCCAAGTCCTACTGCCTTGACTGGTTGCTTCTCATCTGTTACCCTATCTCCCTCCTGAGACTATTCTCTTAATGAACTGCATGTATCTGAATTTCCAAATACTCTTCTACCACAGTGAATTGGGATACTCATTCCAAAACCTTCTGGACAGGTTATCATTCTTTTTATTATTTCTAATCTCCTCCAGAAATTTTACATTTCCTTACCATTAGTTATATTGACATTTATTTTATTTATTATTTTTATTTTTATGTGTATGAGTGTATTGCCTGCATGTATGTGAGTGCACCCGTGTCATGCGGTGCCTCGGAGGTCAGAAGAGGGCTTTGGATTCTCCTGGAACTGGAGTTAAGGATAGTTCATAGCCACCATGTGGGTGCTGGGAATTGAACCTGGGTCCTCTGTAAGAGCAGTCAGTGCTCTTAACCACTGAGCCATCTCTCCAGCCCCATATCGA